GTTTAGTTTAGTTTAGTTGGTTGCATTTTACAAACTTGACCAATCCCCCCGAGGAGCGCTCTGCTCTAGTAATATAAAATCTGTGCATGGAGCTTCATACACTAATGGATGATGGGATGCCTTTCTAATTTTTTCCTTCCTCTTTGTGGTGTGATTTATTAGTTTATATTAATGGGACACAAAAGAATCCATTCTTTTATCTTTGGCACTAATATATGTCATTTGAAATCCTGCACCTTTTCTGACAGGGCTACAGAAGTCACATTTCAGATTCTTTTATTAAATCAATAAACTGCAGCAAACATCATGGTATGCAATATGCAAGCATTGCTTGGCAGTACATGACTAGTGATGTCTGGGATATTCAATGGGAAACCAATACGAATAAAAGTAAAATTCACACCTCACTATCTCAGAAAGTGATAAAATTTGGCATACGAGGCTCTTCTTTAATAACTCCTTTGACAATGCACTTAGTGGAACATTCTGGCATTCAGTGTGAAGTTTATGTAATTTTTCTTTCTAGCCATATATAAATACACCTCAGAACTTGTAAAGCTTTAGAGGTAGGAGCAGTCACATGTTGTGAATTTGGAAATTGTAGAAAAGAAGCATCTGAGATTTATTTAAAAGTTGTCATAAGTGTCGGCCATACAGTTGTCTCTAAGTGCTCAAAAAATAATTACGGGATCACAAGAAGGCGCACATTTTTTCAGGTTTTACATTACACAGTACCGTACATAAAAGGAACTGAGCAGTGGACACTTTAATCTCTTGTAAAACAATATTCTGTATATTTACTATTACTGAGATATACTTCCACTGTTTCTCTCAGTAGAAAACTGCAAACAAATTATGACTGTGAACTGTATTCTAATTTTATGGGATGCAAATTTGGAGAAAATGAGCAGTTATATTCACATAAATATAGTACATAAATAATAGGAAATATCTGTTTACCTTAACACTGTGTCCAACAGAGCCACATCTTCCAAATGGCCAATCAGCAAGCTCCAATGACAGGTGTTACAAGACATATTCTCCCACTCACTTGCTGAACTGCGAGCCTCATCGTCTGCTGATGCAGCAGAGGATTCTTGTTGCTGTGAAACTGCACCTTCTGGTACTGCATTTGGAACCAAAACATTATGTGCATGATGATTCTGCAATCAAAATTCATGCAATTGGGGGTGAATGAAAGAGCTTTAAATGCTCACTCACTTGTCACATAGCAAGCCATAACAACTTTCATTCTCAGCATTACACACATCTCGCTAGAGGTTTTGGTATGCATTTTCTGGCTGTGTGCTCCGAAACGTCAAGAATGACAACCTTTGCTTTGAAACTTGCTATATATCTGGTATGAAACGAATTCCTATATAAGACTATGTTTTGAAACATTCCCGGTGTTGACCTTGAAATCCCTTACCTTTTCCACCCAAAGAGCAACAGCTCTGCAAACAATGGCTCCTGTGAGTGCCATGAATGGATTCACAGAATCCATCAGCACACTGCGAACATCACACCACCAAGTTGACAGCTCATTGTACTCTGCACATATCACATTTACATCTGAAATTCACAAACTACATGTTAGAGTAACAAAATTTCAGGCAGAGTGACATGAAAATAGGTGCAACACCACAAGCTCCTTCCCAACCAGCTTTGTCTATCACCTACATTATAAGTGGAAATAAAAATACAATGTTTTGGAAGTTGTATCTTCTTCCTGGTTGAGCTAGCTTATTGAGGGGGCCCCAACAGCTAGGGCAGGGGTGGGGAAACTGCAGCCTTAAGTACACATGTGGCCTTCTAGGTCCTTAAGTGCAGCCATATGACTGAATCCAAATTTTGCAGAACAAATCCTTTTATTTTTATTAATACATTTTCCAAGACGCCCTTAAGGTCACAAATGACGGATACCCATCTAGAGGATCAACTGAAACTGTGGACCTCCATGCTGCAACCAAACATTCAAATGCTTTCCAACAAAAAGCAGACACAAGAAAGTCATTAAAAGATCAGTTAACTTTAAAATTAACAAATAGTTTTCATTTTTTGAAATTATTAAGTACCTAGTAGTTAGATTTTTACAAAATAATGTACATTTTTAAGTATATCTAATTGAAGTTTCTTGAATGCGGCCTTCCAACATGAAAAGGTTCCCCACCCCTGAGCTAGGAGAGAGAGAGAAAGACCACTGCACTAATTTACAAATACAAATAGCATCTCATGGCTGAACCATCTGTTAATGAAATAAAAGCATTTACAGTTTCCTCACAGCTGCAGTTTAATGTTGTCTAACAACATCTAAACAAAACAATGCAACAAAATATATATTAAATTCTTAAAAAAAATTAGCAGCAGATTAAATTCACAGAATCCTTCTACCATGCAGTTTAGAATCTTACATCTTCCCATCTCCTATTGTAAAACATACACATTAAAATATACAATACACAAATGGGCTTCTGGTTTGCCGCACCATGTAGTCTTTTAGCTGTAAACAAATGTTTTGGAGAAAGAACTGCCTCCATCTTTGAGACTCAATTGAGGAGAGGGAAGAAGTGGATCATTCATAATGGTTTAGCAGAAGGACAAAGCCAGGACACTGGCAAATCATGGTGACCAGATGCAGTACTGACTTTGACAAAACATTAGTAATAGCCAACACCTGCTACTATCTCCACATAATCCTTCATCTCTGCTCCATTTTCTTTAATATTTATAATGTTAAAATACAAGCACTCTGAGGGTGAGCACACTCAGTAAGGCCAGCAAAAAGACACATGTACTTTTTACAGAATTGACCTGCTTGTCTGAAAGACAATGCCAATGAGAACCTGCTAGTGAACAGATGGCTTTCAACAGCTCCATGAAACGCAGCATCTCTGCTTCCAACGCTGAACCTTCTCTTTTCTGAAGCCAGAACTGAAGAGCAAGTTGCACGAGGTGAGCCGGCTCAATACAGCTCTCAGCAGCCGCATTCTTCCAGTCTTCCATTTTGGTGTCACCATACAGTGTACCTTGGTATACCAGTTCACCTGCCAAAGAACAACAAAACACATTACCTCTCTCACTGACATGGCAATGTAATCAGTTTCAAGCGCAGTGAAACCTTGAATGAAATAAATAAGATCAGAAGCTTTTCAGCCTCTGTCATGTGATTTATTTATATAAGTGAAATACGTACATGAGTACAATGTGCTGATAAGCAGCATTTAAAACAATATAATCCATATTTGTTCTAACAAATAAGGCTGCAGGAATTCATCCTTCATGCCCACCCCTAAATCCATGAATTTTATTCAGGCATGTGAGTGTGTTTCCCCTTCTCCTCTCTGGTTTCTTCACTGTGATATGTGGATAACTAAGTAAAATATTATTTATTCAGATTGTGACCTTTTGGCTAATGACATCAACATTTCAGAGGAACATACTGTGATATATTCAATGGTAACCACACCCCAGAAGACCACATCTCAATGCCTGTCACACTGAGAACCTCAAAACTAATACCATATTTCAGTTCATTCCACTTTTGAGTGAAAGAGGAATGGAAGGTCAGTTAGTTACTTTGGTGTTAATTCAGTTTTGCTTATCTCACTTTGAGCACTTTGTTCAGTTTTATTGCAATCTCCGCTTGCTTTATATTCTTAAAGTTATGTCACATCTGAAGAGTTGATTACCTTCATGTTTCACTAACGTCAACATAAAATGTCCATAGAATTCTCACTGTAACTATCTGAATTTCTAATACTATACATTCTACCAAGTGTTGCTCTGACAGAAGAGTTGATCTTTATAGTGCCAACTCATAAAATATAATTCTGCACATTATCTACCATCTTCGTCTTATCTAAACATGTTTCAGAAAATGGATCTCAGTTGGGCCGAACTAGGTATGAACATTTTTCCTCATTTTTTTACATCTGAAGAGGGAAACAAATCCAGTTTTCAGAACACTGTGATAGGAATAAACCGAGACCATGGATAATTTCTACAACAAAAATCATGTTTATTCTATCACATCATCACCAGAAACCTTTATATTTAATTTAAAAGATTTTGAGACAACCTTACAATTCATCAATGCAATTCCCCCCAATGCATGTTGCATGCAGCACCCATCATTTAATACGCCTAGCAAGATCAGGTGAAGAAGCTCTTCACTACGTAATTTTCTCTGCCCTTCTGTCACGTCCTCTTTCTTCGATACAGATATATATCTAACACTCCATTCTCAAGTTTCTTATGTTTCTATGTTTCCTGAAACAGCAAACTCACTGCTTCTTTTCAGTTTGTCTTCAGAGATGCTTTTCTTGAGACAGATTGCTGACGTTTCCTTCAAAGGGCCTCTAATGTCAAAACAAGATAGAAACTCAACAAATGCAGTCTTCCCGTCCTCTCTGAACGCGACTCTTGCCTCTGATTGAGGTTTTGTCTCTACAGCAGCAATCAGTTTCCTCACGCCATTCACTTCCCTTTCTGATGCATGCAAGAGCACAGACAGGGTCTGCAAGAAACAAATCATTCCTCATGATGCAATTCTACAGTGGACCTATTGCAGCCCCCTGACTTTCAGTGTAAAACCACTATTCACGCGCTGAATATTGTCAAATGTTTTAAGTACATACCTCGGCCCTTGTGAAACTGCATCCTGTTACATAAGGTGCGGAAAGTAGTGGTTCTATGCAAATGGATTTCATGTTCTGAATTTTCTGGAGACCAGATATATTTCAAAAGACCTTTGGCTGGCAAGCTCCACAGATTTAATCCCACCAGACTTTTCTTGTAGGTCCTACTTAAGGGATCTATTGTATACATAAATGACCTACCTCCAATAATAAATATCTTATCAGAACCCACAATACAACAATACCAGCAGTGAACATTCAACATCAAACTTGTCACTTTGTAACAAATAACTAGTTTTAAATATGTTGTGACATCACTGATAAAAATATTTTAGAAATTTACTAAAAGTTATATGCATTCAAAAATAAAGAGGAATTTTTTCCTCTGAGTTTTAGAACATGGACTTAAAAATGTTCATCATCCCTGGCCTAGTCACTAATTGAACAATCACAGCAATTTTCATTTACAATTCTTTCCAATGATGAGAAATTACCACAAATATCATGAAAACTGACACTGTTTTCCTCCCCAAAGATCTTCAACCTTCCCACGCCATAGGATCATTGCAAAATGAACATAAGAACCAACGTGAGGGCTTACCTGTGGTGAGTTGAGAACATCAGCTACAACTGTGTTGTACGTTGGGGGTACCTGATGCTCTTGGTGAACAAACTGATAGAAAGACACAAGCCTCTGTAATTTCTAAGCCATCTGAAGCAATGTTTTACTGCTGAAGTCCAGGGAACTGGAATCTGAGTAACAAATGCATACTAATTTGAATGTCAACTTCTACACATTATGCATCTATTCTCTAGTACAAAGAGTTACTTTATATTTGTTCCATATCTAACTCAGCAGAGTCTGTTAGAAACACATAAAAACACTACACAACTGGGACTGGTAAGTGCCAGCCACCCATACTCTTGCTTGAATACGACAAAACCATTCAAGATTGGTCTATAATTGGATGTAAATCATCAAATATAAGAAATAGATTAACTCAGATAGCTCTAATCCTAGTACAAATCAATGACCACACTATTCGAAAATTGTAATATGTAGAATTCAACTGAAAACAGCATGACCAGATTATAAAGTAATGCATTTTAAAAATGCATTACAATCTGTACAGTAGTCCCTCATTTATGCACAGGCATTAAAGCAAAACACTATTAATCTAAACTGAGAAGCTCAACTTGAGATTAAGAAATTCAGATCAATAAATATTTTTTCAGGTGACAGTAAGCACATTGGATGGAATTTAAATCATCCCACAAAAATTTTATTGTACTTCAAAAAATGTAAAATACAGCTATAATAATAAGCAAGTCGCCTACATGTCAAAAAAGGCCATAAAGAGAGCAACATTAAATAAAACAACCAAAACAACTACTTCTAATAGTTTTAGCCCATTTACTAAAATGCAATATCGTCATGTTATAGACTCTAAAATATTAATGAAGTACCCTGCATTCAGCTGTTAACCTTCTCACACAACACTAAAGACAGCGCCTTCTTTGCAACATCTGACATGAACATTTTATTCCAATCTTTACAGTTTTCAGAGTCTACAATGCTTGTTCAAAAACATGGAATCCTTTGTTCTACCAGAAGTACACCTGATATTTCTTGGCACATATTCTTAACCTTTCCAGTGTTATAGAGCAAATAGTTTTGCAAGGACACAGTGTGCTATAACATTTATCTTTCTTACCTGTCAGTAAATATACTGACACAGTTCAGCTTAGGCTTATCGTAATAGAGGGCCATCATTGATTGTCTTACACTTTTCAATTGTAAATATTAGAATGATGTATTGAAATGCATGGGGACAAAACACTGTAAGGATATCTAACCATACACAATATGGTTAAAGCACAGACAACTGATACACATAGTTTCACTATCAGCGTTAAAGGCTACCTGTAAAATTTCATGGCAGTGACAAGCACAGAGACCTACAGTATGACAACAGAGGTGATTCATGATTCACAAATATAGAACTACCTTTCATTCAGCAAGTCACAATCTGGGACCAACAACAAGGATAAAATACACTATATTGCTATGTACTTTGTCACTTATCTCACCTTGTCCAATCAATTTTTCAACAACAACACTTAATGCAGCATCCAGAGCATCGGGAGTAATATATTTACTGGTTGACAATATCTCAAGAGTCTGAGTTCGTACGTCATTGGTTTTTAGTTCCTGTACTGTCTTTCGTACCTCCTCAATCAACTTATCATCAGAATCTTCTTCCTTCAGGAGAACCTTCAGTTTCTTCAGCAAGTGCAGGTCTCCAGCTCTGTTACTATTTTTATCACTGCAACAAAGAATATTTAATGTTGTTGAACAAAGGAAGGATAAGAACTCTTGACTTTTAGGTGCATTCACAACTACAATGCACTTAGCAACTTAACCATATCTGTCTGTCTCCATGTAATGGCTCAGGAACAGCTAAATAGATATTCATGAAATCTGAATGTGCAGTAACAAAATGTATCTGTGACAGAATGCATACAGCCTATAACATAAATTTCATTATAGCAAGCAAAGTCATCAACACTCAATTTCTTAACAATACACATATGGAAAATATCATATAACATAAGAGCTTTCTTCCGGTTCTATCATAATAAATTATAATTTGCTGAGACTTTATTCTAGAACTTGCAATTTTGCTTCCACATGGAGGATTCAATTTTTTAATATTATCAAAGCCTGAGTACTGCCCAGCCCATGCATAAGCTATTTATAGCTAGTTATCCATAAAACTTTTGTTAACCCACATTCTGTGGCTCTCTCTAGTCTATGAGAAGAAATAATGCTTTCCAGAACGTTTATTTGTTTGTTCAGCTGAATGTACAGCAGTATCTTTACTACAAGTATAAAATCAGATGACAAATCAGACACATCTGAACAATGTTAAATTCACACATACCCAAGCACCTAGCAGAATCGATCACAATTATTGCAATGAATAAATTCAGTTTGCACTGGCATGAAACCCAGGAAGAAACACCAATGATATGAAGTGATAATCTTTGGCAAGCCACAGAATCCATCACAAAACAAACTTGGCTGGTGGCAGCAAGGAATAAGGACTAATGAACACATACCTCAGTGCAAAGTGGAAGGGTACAGAGATCTCCTTCACTAAACCACTTGGATCAATAAAAACACAAGAAAACTGGCATCTGTTGCCACCTTTCAATGGAATGTTGTTTAGACCCACAAGGCCATAACCCATATGTAGCAGCCTGCAAGCATGAATGTTACTGCTGTTACATGTCTGTAAGATGGATTTCACAACCTACAGGAAGAACTTAACATTCAGAGAACTAGTCAAAAAATTCCTTACTTTTATAACATATATTTATAGACGCGGACTGGATTACTCTGTCCTTAGGTTTTCATGGCTGATGTATAACTTTGGCTTCCAGGGATGAGGTTGAATGATGAAAATGACCCGTTTTGGCAAACACTACAGTTGCCATTTTTAAGCGAACATGTAATAGCTGATCATCTTTGGAAGACTTATAGCCTGCTCTTCTGCTTCACCAATCAGCACCATCAAATTCAGCTCACTACCTACCACCTGCCCTATATAAGGCTTCCAAAAAGCACCCAACCATTACTTACTCACCCTAAAGATGGCAACAGAAATGTTTGCTGAAACAGGTATTTTCAACAGAGATCATCTATGGAAGCTGAAACAGTATATAAGAGGATCTAGTGGGAGGTTCTTTCAAACATAATAATGAAGATCTGCGTAGAAGTCTGCATGGACCAAAATTTTAGAACTTTACAAGGACCGAAGCTTGATTTCCTTTTAATCTAACCTGGATAAACCCCAATCTTTGTGGCAATTGGCCCTGACTATTGTGTCAACAATACAACTTTATTTTATTGCATAAATGTCAATAACCCTTACTGAATATTTAATGACACTGTAAGAACATCTGGAATTCCCAGCAAATTTTCATGTGTAGTACAAAACTCACGGGGAAATTTGTTAACGAGCATGTAGCATCACATCTCTCTATGCAAAAAAGAATGGCATGAGGATGTTTGATATGTTCAGAATGCCATAAATTGAACCAGGCCTGAACCCAGACATTACCTGTGCTGCCCAGACCCAGGCCTGTGCAGATCTCTGCTTCTGGGTTCCATATAGATAATGTCCTGGCTAGTTAACAAGCTATTAGCTTCTCAAGGACTATGCTTCATGGTGCTAGTTACACCATCAAAGATGAAGTACAAAGCATATGACATTTTTTTTTACTAAAATATTAATTTACTGTATATTTATTTACTTTCTTTGTATTTAATGAGACTGTCAGTAGCTTAAGCTTGTAGTGTTGAAGCTACATAACAAAAACGATGATCATTCAAAACGCCTTTAAAATAGAATGTGTTATCTTGTAAACAATCTGACATGTATAGGGCAGAACACTTAGAACATGTATATGTTTCTAAGTGAATTCTGGTCCAAGTTAGACTTCTTATCACATGCAAGCAAATAATGCATGGAAATTTGAAAATTTCAGTACCTCATACCTAAGGGGACTGTTACTAATTTGTAAACTGAGACTGAGAATCAAAGCTGAAATTTAATGCTGACAACTGATGAATTATTCTCCATTCTTCCTACATGTACAGCAAATTACAAAAGAATCCAAGGTGTTGTTACTCTGATTAGTTATCAGCACCTTCCACTTTTGCTTGCTGTAAACTTGGCAACTCTGGGTCCCTGCTGCATCGCCCATATCTCTATGATGCCTTGCTTAGGTACGTAGATGACGAGAAACAATGCCATTCGTGGCTGATGAGTATTCCTAGAGCTGATGCCACATTGCCTTGTTTCTTCTTGAACTTCAAGCCACCCACACTGAGCATCACGATACCCTGCATTAGCACACCAAACTACAATTTCTTCATCATATATCTAGACCTAACGAACTGACAAGTCAATGCTCTCTCTTGTAACAGAATCTCTATGTTCATCACCCATTAACACAAAGGCCAGTGAAAAATCCTACCTTGAGCTAGTTCAAGTGAATATAAATTACAATCAGTCCAGGATATTCTCTTTTAACATTATCTACATAACTGTACCAAAACTCCAATAAAAACTGTGCACAAGAAACTTACTTTGTAGTTGGGCACTATTTCTGTTAGTTAACCTATGAATATACAATTTTTCTGTTCATACTTCTGTACCAGAACTAATAATTACTTTAAAAATAGTTCACACGATTTTCATCTTTCTATCACAAAGTATGTAAAAATGAAATTGTTTATTTTCACAGATGTGTAGCTCTGCAGCTTAGTCTTTCATCTTTGTAATAGAATGTGGTTCACAGAAAAATGTTCAAGTGTTTCTGCAAATTGAAAGAGAAAATCAAACTGCAAATCTGATATCTGTTTAGGCCTACAGGTTAGACATAATTTCTTTCCAAAACTTAAATGCTGAAGCTGCTAAAATTCAAGATTGCCTCACATTTAGGTAGTTACCGTAACTGCAAAATGTAATTCAGAGCTTGTTGAATAATACAAAACAGAGAATACAAAATGAAATGATATTACAGTACAACATACCCTTCCACATACGAATTGCCACTCCTTTTAGATTATCTATCAGAATGATTCGTCCCAGGCTGTCCGACACTATGGACAATTTCCTGTTTGGAGATATCACCACCCTATCTCCATGCCTCAATAGATCACACAACCCAAATCTGAAAAAAAAAATCAAGCCTCAAATAAAAAACATCAGAAAATAAAACATAATCTGCACAAAAGCCACAGGTTTTTAGAAGCCAGTCACACAAAGCAGAGAAAGATGCCACAGTTCAAAGGAAAAAAAAAGAGTTCAGCTGTAATACTAAGAGGAGAAAAACTTCATAACAATGATCTTAAAACTTTGCATACCATGTAGTGTATTAGAATATAAAATAAGTAAACAAACAACTATTAACACTATAAAAAAGACACTATTGCCATACGCGTTTCAACCTCAAGAGGTCATCATCAGTGGCATCAAGGAAATTAATTCATTTAATCTAATGGTTTAAACTGGATTTAGAAAATAAATAAGGTGTTTCACAAAAGTATTTCAAGCGTTACTGCACTAGATGTTGTTATTCACAGAAGTAGAACTATGCACTTAGCTATTGATCCGATGGTTCG